CAAACAAAATTTTTTGAATATTACAAATTTTCCACCAATTGCTTAACCCTTAATATAGGTATAATACCCAAATGTGAAGTTTCATTTCGGTTTCTGTTAGCGGAATATTTTTGAAATACGTTTTTAAGACACTTTTTGAGTAGAATATACTGCCGTTGAAAAATTTTAAACTTATAATTTTGGAGATATAACATAAAGTTGTATCGCGAAAATTTGACTTTTTGGCAATAACATAAAAACAAAAGAAGATGGAGGTTTGGTCTTTGCGGGATTGGATGGCACCTACTTTTTTCATATCTCTCATAGTTTCTGAGATAGCCTATAATAACATCAAAATTTACCCACCCTGTACATTAATAATAAGAGAAAAAATAAATTGACTCAAAAGCTAAGATATATGTGAGAAGTGTCTTCGAGGTACTTAAATTCTTTAGCGCATGATTTGTTCAATCACAGAATCTCGAATAAAACTGGAAACATATTTCAGTTTTATATTAATACATATTATTTTAGTAGTGATTTATAAAAATGTTTAAATTTAAAGGAAGAACGATAAATGATTCTAAAATTAATCAAAAATGTTATCAATTAAAATATATGTGGGTTTTATCAAACAAAATTTTTTGAATATTACAAATTTTCCACCAATTGCTTAACCCTTAATATAGGTATAATACCCAAATGTGAAGTTTCATTTCGGTTTCTGTTAGCGGAATATTTTTGAAATACGTTTTTAAGACACTTTTTGAGTAGAATATACTGCCGTTGAAAAATTTTAAACTTATAATTTTGGAGATATAACATAAAGTTGTATCGCGAAAATTTGACTTTTTGGCTATAACATAGAAACAAAAGAAGATGGAGGTTTGGTCTTTGCGGGATTGGATGGCACCTACTTTTTTCATATCTCTTATAGTTTCTGAGATAGCCTATAATAACATCAAAATTTACCCACCCTGTACATTAATAATAAGAGAAAAAATAAATTGACTCAAAAGCTGAGATATAGGTGAGAAGTGTCTTTGAGGTACTTAAATTCTTTAGCGCATAATTTGTTCAATCACTTAAAATCTCGAATTAAACTTGAAACATATTTCAGTTTTATATTAATACATATTATTTTAGTAGTTTTTTTATAAAAATGTTTAAATTTAAAGGAAAAACGATAAATGATTCTAAAATTAATCAAAAATGTTATCAATTAAAATATATGTGGGTTTTATCAAACAAAATTTTTTGAATATTACAAATTTTCCACCAATTGCTTAACCCTTAATACAGGTATAATACTCAAATGTTAAGTTTCATTTCGGTTTCTGTTAGCGGAATATTTTTGAAATACGTTTTTAAGACACTTTTTGAGTAGAATATACTGCCGTTAAAAAAATTTAAACTTATAATTTTGGAGATATAACATAAAGTTGTATCGCGAAAATTTTACTTTTTGGCTATAACATAAAAACAAAAGAAGATGAAGGTTTGGTCTTTGCGGGATTCGATGGCACCTACTTTTTTCATATCTCTCATAGTTTCTGAAATAGCCATAATAACATCAAAATTTACCCACCCTGTACATTAATAATAAGAGAAAAAATAAACTGACTCAAAAGCTGAGATATAGGTGAGAAGTGTCTTTGAGGTACTTAAATTCTTTAGCGCATGATTTGTTCAATCACTTAAAATCTCGAATAAAACTTGAAACATATTTCAGTTTTATATTAATACATATTATTTTAGTAGTGTTTTATAAAAATGTTTAAATTTAAAGGAAAAACGATAAATGATTCTAAAATTAATCAAAAATGTTATCAATTAAAATATATGTGGGTTTTATCAAACAAAATTTTTTGAATATTACAAATTTTCCACCAATTGCTTAACCCTTAATATAGGTATAATACCCAAATGTTAAGTTTCATNGTACACAATACTTGTATGAAAAATCGTTTATCTTCACTTCGCCGAGGTCGCTTGCGGGCGAGGC